TCTCCGTTTACTAGTCATGAATCCTTGGGCAAGTGTTTTAAGGTCTGTAGGTGTTGGTTTTCTTACCTGGAGAGTAGGGACCACTACTACGCCTTGTGGGATTAGGAGGCGAGAATGAGGTAGTATATGTAAAGGGTTCCGCAGAGCATCCTGGACATAAAAAGCTCTCAAAAATAATTTTTGTCTCCATCTGCCTAAGTTGTTTGAGATCTGCCAACACATTTAAGCTTTAAGATTAAAGCTTAAAGACAGCTTGAAAGATTACCAAATTCAATTTGCCATTTTACAGATGATGAAAATGAATCCCAAAAGAAGGAACATGACCAGGTTGCTTCTGAGGCAGTAACAAAACCAGGATAAGAACACAAGTGTCCCTATGACCAGCCCATTCAGTGTTCAGTCCTCCTGAACTGTTCAGTCCCCAATGTTCCCCATGCAACCCCACACTGGGAAAGAGAACAGCCCTCTGAGCTGGAGGTGAGCGCACAAATAGCAAACCTGACAACCAGTTGTGGGAGGCAAAGACAGAAACCCAGACAAGTGAAGCCTCACCAGGACCTGACCACGCACCAATCCAGGTACCGTAGAAAGTAATTGCCAGCTAGCTTCCTTCCCAATAAATTCCTAATTCCATCTCTGTTCCATGCTCCTAATGACAAGCTCACTGTTTTGGGGCAATGTCAGCAGAAGAAGAGTCCTGGAGAAGCTGGGAAACATTGGGAGGCAGCCTGCTGTGGTGGAAAGGGACTCTAGACCTGGAGTCCTGTTCAGATTCCACATTTCACTGACTGCGCCTCTCTGGTTACCTCTCAGCCCATTTGTTCATCCACGAAGCAGGGATAACAATATCCATTTGGGGGATTGTTGTATTAGGGAAGGATAATAAAATGCACCTAGTAGATTCTTAATAAATAATATTTGCCACAAATTCTGGTGTGTTCTAGTTTCACCATTTGCTTTGTGACCTGGGGAAATCACCTTCTGAGAGCCTGATTTCTTCACCCTTTCCACCTCTGATGGGGTAACTTACATGAAAGTGTTTTATAAACCAACAGTTATCAGCAACTCTTCTTCACTTGTGCTCTCCACAAAACATTTTTTAAAACCTAGGGCACTATGAAATTGTGGCAGTATATCACCCTATATGGGCTTTTTACAAGGTTATCAAACTTCCTTTAGCTCAGCAATAGCTAACCAAATCCATCTGTTGTAATCAAGTGTTTTTTGGGTTTCCCAGCCTTTTAAGCCCACTTTTATGTAGACCAAGACAAAAATCCCTCATGAGAGCGTGAAATGCAACCAAGCTGATCATCCCTTTCAGAAAGATAGCAGAGAGCACTTATGGCTGGCGTTTTAAGCCCTCCAGCCCTGTATAGACACGCCCAGGCTCCACCGGCAGCATGGCTCCCACACTATCCCAGGAGGAAGAGCCCCCACTCTCTGCCAGCCTCGCCCACAGGACTGGACCCATTTCCACAGTCTCCAGGGACCCATTCTGTAACCAAAGAGCTTTCAGTCAAACCCATCTGGGGCAAAAGGCCAGAGGATTCCTGCAACAGCCTTCCAATCTCTTCCATCTTCTGCTCCATCTATCCTGAATATACCACCAGGTTAGATTATTTCCCTAGGTTAGATTATGGGACCCTCCTGAAAAAAATGTCAATTTTTTGCTAGGAGGGTGCTTAAGACTTGCTCAGGTGGCAAGGTCTCAGGAAGTCAGGTAGCACTTTGTGGAACATTCTTGATATACAGACATATTTATTAAAAAAAAATGTAAACGTTTATTCATTTTTGAGAGAGAGCACGAGCAGGGCAGGGGTGGGCAGAGAGGGAGGCACAGAATCTGAAGCAGGCTCCAGGCTCTGAGCTCTCAGCACAGAGCCTGATGGAGGGCTCAAATTCACGAACCACAAGATCATGACCTGAGCTGAAGTCAGAAACTTAACTGCTTAACTGATGGAGCCACCCAGGCGCCCCGATATACAGACATATTGCTTATATTCCTAAGAGAAGGCATAGCAGCCACCAAAGTTTTAGGGGGGAAAAAAAGTATGTAAGACAGGATTGGGAAAATTCTAGTGATTTTCCCTGCAAATCAGGAAAAGACCTCTATACCTTTCCCGGTACCATTCCTGGTCCAGCTTCTGAAATAGCAGTATTCCTTGAGGGCAAAGTTTGAGAACCACTGACTTATGAGGGAAAAGTCCAAATTCCTCAGTATATCAGTCAATGGCCTCCACAATCTGGCCTTAATTACCTATCAGCCTCAACCCCCTTCTGACTCCCCCCTCCAATCCCAGTCTCCATCTCTGACCACTTCAAGCATCTATGTGAGCTCAGATCTGTTTCTACTTCTACCCCACATACTGATATCAAAGCCTCTACCCCAGAAAGAATGACGGGGCCGGCCCACTAAGGAAGCCCTCTCTGTATATGTTCATACTGTATGCTTTTCTAATCACTCATGGTAGCTGCAAAATCTTGGGGGGAAAGGCTGTCTCCAGAAACCTGTATTCTTAGAACCCAGCAGGATGCTACTTCAGGGCAGTGGCTGGGCCAGACTCTTCTAGGTGTTTACTCCGTAGTCCCACACAGCAAAGCAAGTGGACCAGGGAACCCAGCAGGGAATGTCCCCCCACAGTACTGCTGAGAGAACTACACTAGGGAAAATGCTGGATTTCGCGCTTTCTCAACTACTGAAAAGCTGAGATCAGGCTCTCATTGGGTCTCAGTCCATAGAGTGAGGTAGTCATTTGCTTGATTTAGATGGCCTCAAGGACCTATTCAGCTCTTTGCTCACAGGGCTGGCTTTCAACATGTGTATTTCTGCTCTCTCAGGGATTGTTTGGCCAAAGTAATCAGACCACCCAACTCCCAGGGGCTGTATGAGGCTAACCAAAGACTTCAAAAAACTAGGGAGAAAAGCAGAAAACACACACACCCACACCCACACTAAAGAAAGCTACCCCTAACATCTTTCCCCACACTGCTTCCAGCTGTTCTTCTGAGTCCTCAAGCCTGATATAGGGGCAGAGTCATTAGGAGCTGACAGCTTGGTGTCCAATAAAACACAGTATGAAAAGAACACACCAAATTGCACCTTCTGGCATATATTATAGTTTTAACAATTTGCCACCACCCTGCACAGCTGCCTTTTTAAGGTAAACTCTAAGTAGGCACTTAGAGGGGCTTCTGAGTTGAATAAAATCCTGCTGGAGAGACAAACCCAGAACACCATCTCTCCTCCCCAGCTAGGATCCTGAATGTGTGCCCAGCCCACCTGGCACTGGGTACTTAGCGCCCTTTACCTGAGGTTACTGTGCAGCAAGTCTCCCTGTTCCTTGGGTCGAGGTGAGGCAGAAACCCACACTGGTGAAACCATGGCTCTGAAGCCAGACTTCCTGGTTTCAAATCCTGGCTCTCACGTACAGGCTATCTGAATTTGGGCAAGTTACAGAACCTCACTGTGCCTCAGCTTCCTTATCTGTAAAAATAGGGATAATAATAGCATTTATCCTACAGGGTGCTGTGAGGACTGAAGGTTTAATAAGTGTGAAGTGTTCCAGTGGCGCCTAGCATATAGTAAGCGCGTGGTACTTGATGCTATTATGGAGATGGGGTGTGGTGGTCATGACAGGAGGAAACCAAAGGAGAGAAAGACCAATCAGTTCCATTCTGAGGCTGGGAACCACACAGACGTGCCACCTGGGACTGGTCCTCCCTGAGCCAGCACACCCCAGACTAGGGGTCCCTCTCCACTTGTCACCTGTGCATCCCTCCTATCCCCAAGGTACAGTGTCCAACAGGGTAAAGGGAGAGGGCCCTAAGCAAGGTTAACTCCCCTGGGAAGAGCCTCAAACCTGTGGTCTTGGACAAGTCTTCGTTTTCTTCACCACTTCTCTGTGCTTCAGTGTCCCATCTGAACAAGGGAGCTGAACCAGATGATCGCTCTCAGCCCTGACATTCTATAATGCTGTGCTTCATTTTATTGCCATCTTTTCATCCTATTAGGTTCAAGAAGGCTGAAATGCCAGAGGCATTTAACTTCTAAAAGTGTTTCATAGCAAGGGATTATGACACAAATCAGTTCAACTAGTTGGTTAGTTCAACTAGCCAAGCCCCAGGCTGCCACATAAAGGGACTGTTTGACAACATCCGCCCCTCCCTCATGTACCACTGGTCACTTCCTATGCCCTCCCTGAGGCTTCCTCATCCTGTTAACTACTACAACTTCTGCAGATCTGCTTCAGACACAGCTGTCTTCATTCTACTTGCCTGCTGGCTCCTGGCTTTTACAGGACTCCAGATAACTGCCTGTACCTTCCCACAGAATGGACCAAGCCTCACTAGCCTCTGTTCTTGGTCTCGCACTCATACTAGCTTCTAGCCCCTGTGGCACTCTTGATCTCAGCTGTGCCCTAGGGGGCAGAGTGAGAGTGCCACAGGCAACCGCAAGTGTGGCCATCTCCCATGCCTGGCTGCTTCCTAAGAGAACCCAAAGGAAGCATCAGGAGGGCCAGAGAAAAGCCAAAGCAATCTCTGAGCAGGAATATAAACATAATATCAAACTATCTGTTAACAAAAGAGGCCATATTGTGGCAAAGCAGCCCCTCCTTCTCCATTCCCCTCTTCTTTATAGACACAAATTCCTCTATAAGCTGACAAAACTTTAAAATGAAATGGAAAATTAAATTTAACTTAAGCCAACTAAATATATTCAGTAGATTCAGGTTTATCAGATCTGCTTTTGCCATATTAGTTATGGTTTTCTGAAGACTGGAATATATTTAAGATAATATTCATGCTTTTTTAGCTGAATTTGCCAATCTAGTTCCCTTCTCTCAATAATCATATTAAGATGATTAGTCTGGAGCATTCGTTTTTATAATCTTGCATAAAACCCAGAGTCCTCCATGAACAAGACAGGCAAAGAAAAAATCAATTTTTACTCATTTTCTTCAGTTTTTTTTCTTTATGAAGCTAGGCATATTTCTGGTAGTAGTTTTAAAGCTGTGGAAATGTTTTATTATTATATATTTTATTACAGAATTAGAAAATTTCAAAAAGTAATTGTTTGGAACCACAAATAATTAAAAAGAAATATAATAACAGGCTCATAAAAAAGCATTCTGGCATCTGTGAGAATTTTTTCTTAAATTATGATATTTAGCTCTTCATACTTTTGATTATACTAGCCATGAATTTCTACTTCAACTGAATACTTTGACATATATTCCTTCTTGAAATATGTTAACTCATTTTTTCTTCAGCAGCTCAGTCATTTCAGGAACTACCTGCAAATTAAAAAAAATAAAAGTAATTAAGCAATTTGAGCCTTTAGTTGCTACAGTCATAGCTCCTTAAGAAGTACACAGAGGCCAAAAGAAGCCACGCGCATCACTGCTGAGGCACGAGGTGCCCCTCCCCCACCCAACTCCCCCCTTGGGTGGCCTCCCTCCCATCTGTGGGAAGACTATACACGTTTGCAGGGAGAAACCACCCAGACACACGGCTGGCAGGACCACTGGCCCACGCACTGCCTAGGAACCTTTCTGACACAACCACAAACCTTACAAAGGCACCACAGAAACAGGAGTCCAATTTTTCTTTTGTGAGGAGAGTAGTGTGTATTTTTTACCTTCATGTTTTCTGGGCATTCTTCCTTCCCTTACTGTACTCTGGCCTTTCCTTCAAAGTCCATACCAAAGTCTCTTCCTTAGTCATGACTCTTGCTGGCCCCCCTAGCACTTGTTTTCTCATTGTTCGTTTGCTCAGTCATCTTTCCTTCCACAAACACTACAGTTGCTTCTTCAGCACATGTTACTATCTTTCTGCACTTAAAAACAGGCTGCACGCTGAACATTCAATTTCACCATTCTTTATGAAAATAAAGGTTGTGCTAATGCCATGTCTGGTCAACAGACAAAATAAGAAACCACAGTGAAGGAAAACTGACGGAGTTGGTTCCCATTTTAAAATGGATTAATTACTAACCCTTAGTCTTGGCAGTTCAGGGGCTGCAACTGGAACTTTCAGTGTGAAGCTGCTTTCAGCCTGGACAAGAGGAGGCTGTGAGCGGGGACTGCAGGGGAGGGTCACACGGAGCCCACCTGAAAACTAGCTGAGCCACTTGTGTAAAACATCAATTACCCAGTCTTCCATGGGGCTGTCGACTGTCCTAGCTCAGAGAGATCCCAGTTGAACTCGCCACTGATGAATATAGCCTCTCAATTATTTAAGAGAGCTACATTTCCATTAGGTGGAAATAATGTGTTCGTACAAAATTTATTAAGGAAATTGTCGACATGTTGTTTCTTCCGAATGTCACTTTGTCTCCAGCCTGTTAAAAGGCCCATGTTTACCATGGAGCCAGCAGGCATTAGCTCAGGGGCAGCATTAGGTGCTGGCACCACTTGTCCCAGCTTTCCTCGGTGGAGAGACCATGAGCTTATGCCAGTCACACAGATGACATGCTAAACAAGCCTCACATGGGACCGACGTGTTTCATGAAAAATAGGCTAGAGCCCAACAACTTCTTTTAAATGAAACATTTAACCTGAGTTAGAACACACAATTTTTAAAACCCTTACAGAACGTCTCCCTGCCACACTACCCAAAATGGGGTTAAGAGGACTTTGTCCATCATCTATATCCTTTTTTATTAGATCAACCTCAGACTTTCCAGGCATACCACACAATGCCTTACTTAGGGAAAAGAAAATGCCAACTCCGGTTCACTGAATATCTTATAGCCTGAGCAAACTCAAAGATCCGGATTCTTATTTTTATTTTAGATATTGTAGAGGCAGCTCTCTATTCAGTAAGACTAAATGAAAATAAATTTACATTTAAAATAAGATATTCTGGGGTGCTTGGGTGGCTCAGTCAGTTAAGCATCCGGCTTTATCTCAGGTCATGACCTCACAGTTCATGAGTTTGAGCGCCACGTCGGGCTCTGTGCTGACAGCTCAGAGCCTGGAGACTGCTTTGGATTCTGTGTCTCCCTCTCTCTCTGCCCCATTCCCACTTATGCTCTCTCTCTCTCTGTCTTAAAATATTTAAAAAAGAAAAGTAACAGCTGTTAACAAAGATGTGGAGAAACTAGAACATTTGCACACTGCTGAATGTAAAGTGGTGCAGCCACTAGAGAAAGCAGCTTGGAGATTCTTTGAAAAGCTAAACACAGAATTACCACATTATCCAGCAATTCAAAGGTATATACCCAAAGGAAATCAAAGTGGGGACTTAGAACAGATATTTGTAGGCCTATAATCATTGTACTGGATTAGACAAAAGTTTCACATATATGACACCTACTAAAGGACAAGCAATAAAAGAAAAAATAAACTGGACTTCAACAAAATGTAAACCCGTATGCGTCAAAGGACACCGAGAAAGTGAAAAGACAGGAGCTCCCCTCTACTTGTTAGATGGGATGCTGCCTGATTCATGACTCATTTAATAAAGCCAGTGATAAAAATAAATAAGTAAATTGCAAAAGAAAAGAAAAGAGAAGAAAGAGGGAGAGAGAAAAAAGGAAAAGTCAACCCACAGAATGGAAGAAAATATTTGCAAATCATATACCTAATAAAGAACTTATATCCAGAATATATAAAGAACTCTTATAACTCAACTACAGAAAGACAAATAACACAACTTTAAAATGGGCAAAGGATTTGCACAGACATATCTCCAAAGAAAATACGTTATAAATGGTCAATAAAGACATGAAGAAATGCTCATCATCATTAGCTATCAAGGAAATACAAATCAAGACCACAACAAGTTACCATTTCATACCCATTAGGAAGTCTATAACAAAAAAGATGGGATAGTAAGAAGTGTTAGTGAGTGTATGGAGAAATTGGAGCCTTCATATACATTATTGGTGGAAATGTAAAATGAGGCAGCCACTTTGGAAAACAATCTGACAGTTCTTCAAAATGCTAAAAATAGAGTTTTCAAGTGACCCAGAAATTCCATTCCTAGATATATACCCAAACAAGATAAAAACATATATGTATGTATAAAAGCTTAAATGCTCACAGTAGCATTATAATAGCCAAAGAGTAGAAACTCAAATGTCCATCAAATGATTAATGCATAAACAAAATGAGGCATATCCACACAATGGATATTATTTTGCACTAAAAGGAAACGAAAGTGCTGATATAGGAGACAACACAGATGAATCTTGAAAACATTATGCTAAGAAGCCAACCACAGAAAGCCCATATATTACATGATTCTATTTATATGAAATGTCCAGGATTGGCAAATCCATAGAAACACAAAACAGGTTAGTTGTTGCCAGGGGCTGGGGAGAGTGCAGAACAGGGAGTGACTGCAAATGGGTATGGGGTTTCTTCTCCGTGTGAAGAAAATGTTCTGGAATTAAATAGCTAATGGTTGCATAACTCTGAATATACTAAAACTCACTGAACTTTGCATTTTAAAAGGGTGAACTTTATGATTTGTGAATTAAATTTCAGGAAAGCTTTTAAAAACAACAACAACAACCAGTCAGGTGGTGTCCTGTGCTCTGTCGCTCTGACTCCGATTATAATATTTACCATTTATTGAACACCTATTATGTACCTATTATGAAAAGAAATACAAACAGGTAGGCTAATATTTAACCAAGACTGTACTAAGTACAGCATAATCTCATTTAACTTTCAATACAACCATGTAAGGTAGGTAGTATATTATTTATATTACTTTTGAGGAAGCTTACATTCAGAAAAATTAAGTAATTGGCCAAGATAATTTAACTAGTATGTGGCCAAGACAGAATCTGAATTAAAGCTCTTAACTACTGTACCATATTATTTTTCTTATATTAAGAAAAAAACAACTTGTCATCTCTAACTCATGATTACTGAAGGGTGAAATAAAACAATAAATATTAAAGAATAAATTTACATTTGCATTTACTCCAGACATGAAGTTTGGTGGATACCGTATCACTTAGAGAATTATTAGTCACGCTATGTGTGATAGTTTGAAATTTAAAATTTTTACACAGAAATTTAGTCTAAAAAAGTCCTTTTTACATAACTATTATTTGACTTAGGATATATTTTTTTAAGATTTTATTTTTTTAAGTAATCTCTACGCCTGACGTGGGGCTTGAACTTACAACCCTGAGATCAAGATCTGCATGCTCTCCCAATTGAGCTAGGCAGGCACCCCTGACTTACAGTATTTTCTTTAAAGTCTTAATCTGAAATAGATTATGCTCTCACTCACTCATATTTTGCATAATTGTACTTTTATGTATTGTTATACCTTTAAATATTTGATTTTTAAAAGACAGAGGGTGACCCTGAAGAGTATAGTCACTATACTACCTTGTCCACTCTTCGGTCGGAATTACTACAATATTCATCTATATTATACTCATTCTGATTTCAACTGACAAAACAATCTGATGGATACTAAGTTCCCAGAGTCTGCCAAAGGTGCAGTCCTTTTTACTGCGATTTATTAAAGAGCAGTAGTGGTGAACCACCTGGCAGTCCCTGATGAGATGGGAAGGCAGGGTGATGAGTGAAAGGATGGAATCAGGAGACTTAGTTGTACCAAAAACTTGCAGAATAACTTCCCCAAATCACATCTCTTTGGGACACAGACAATTTAAAAAAGAACATGACTCATTTGTGTTATACATGTAGTAGCTAATGGGAAGCTGCAACTCAAGCAGTAATTTTTTTTTAAAGATTTTATTTTTAAGTCATTTCTATACCCAACATGGGGCTTGAACTTACAATCCCGAGATCAAGAGTCACATGCTCTACCAACCAAGCCAGCTAGGTGCCCCCCAAGCAATATTTTTGATATTTTATAATCTAATCAGACTGCTTTTTAAAGGATTAACTTTCCTCCCTTTATATTAATTAAAGGTATATATAACTGTGCTTCAGAACTTCGGAGCAGGATGAGATAATCACTAACTTAATATAATTCTAGCTAAAAGCAAATAAACGTTAGGTCTTAGTCCAAACACATTATCAAATGTAGGCTTCTTAAAACACCAAGAACAGCTTGAGAATCTCCAGTTGGAAATCGTCTAACTGAATGATTCTTGAGGTCCCTTTCCACTTCTACTATCCTAGGACTCTCAACAAGATACCTCTCTCAGCACACACACGCTCTCACTCGCTCACATACCTCTCTGTCTCTCTCTCATGTCAAACCTGGGAGCTCCCCTAAATGCAAGAAGCACAGTGTGTGTGATACCATTCCATCAGCAATTGCTACAAAGATGCTCCTGCCCCAAGGCAGGTGTCCACCGTATAAACATCACAAATTTCCAACTAATACTTCATCCATTTATCAAGTAAGCCCTGTCTGTAGGTTGCAATATACAATACGCTAACAGAAAAACATAAACAAAACAACTTGCAAATTTATTAAAATATTCTCTTGAAGAAAAATAAAAGGCAAACTACAGTAGATGTCTGTTTGCAAATGTGTCAACACAATACATGGATAGGGTTCAGAAGTGTTTAATTTCATATTTTTTATTTAAAAGGTCTTTACCCCTCTACCCCTTCTCACTGGAGCTAAATGCTTGGTACTTGAACAAAGTTATCCTTGTACAGAGATACGAAAAATTTCTGTTTTTCACACTAACTTTTCCTCCAACTGGCATATCTTAGTGGTCAAATGACTGCCATTAATTACTGTTCTTACAGGGGCTCCTGGGTGGCTCAGTTGGTTAGGAATCGGACTCTTGATTTCAGCTCAAGTCATGATCTCACGGTTTGTGAGGTTGACCCCTACGTCGGGCTCTGCGCTTGGGACTCTCCCTCTTTCTCTGCCCTTCCCCTGCTCACCCACGCATGTGCGCGCTAGCTCACTCTCTCTCTCAACATAATAAACTTAAAACTTATATATATTGTTCTTACACAGCTGGGCCAAGTAACAATTGCAGAAGAACTACCTAAGTCCTAAATTTCAATTATAGGACCTCAGGATCACTGAAGTGGGGCTGTACTCTTCCAGGGCAAGATACAGGCCCTTTGAGGGATGGGGTGGGGGGTGCTCCTGAGGTGAAGGATGCCCTATGAACACATACTTCACAGTTTAGACGTGTTCTCAAAATACACTCATTAGTTTATCTGGATCATGTACACTGTTAGTGGAGCCGTGGTAATGGGCCAATCCTCTTGCCAAGAGGACCACCCTGGCTCTATTCTCAGGCTGCAGCCTCTCTATTAAGGCCCGTGGTAGCTCACTGTAATTCTGTGCAAGGGGTTCCTCACTCTAGCAAACTGACTTCTCCCTGGGCTAGATGCTACTTTCAGAGCCTCAATGCCTGCATGAATGCTTTCTGCACTTCTAGGCAACCTAGAAGTTTGTAGGCACAAAAAGCAGTTAGGGCCATGCATGAGCTATCACCTTTAAATGTGGCCAAATGAATATCAGGTGCACATCAATATCACTAAAGTAATTTCACTCATGGGTAGGGTAACTACAGGGGTGGTGGCAGGGTGGAAAGAACACTCAAAACAGTGAAGACTATGAAGAGTGGGAAATAAGTGTTCTCCCCTACATTTATCAGGTTAGGAAGGCCTTTAACTCTCAAGCAGAGCATACTTGTTGAGTCAGATAAAATGGACTTGAATGCCCCCTCTTTCCCTGAAAAGCTGTAGCATTGTTGGCAAATTTCTGAATGAGGGTATTTGATGTGAATTTCTTTAAGGTACCTGTCAAATATGATTCTAGGTTATAATTACCTGAATCACTTCACATTGTGTACTAACTATGCACACGAGATGCCAAAAGTCATGTGGATATTTTAAAGACAATATGGATTACCTCTTTTTTTCTTTTTTTAAAGTTTATTTATTTTGAAAGCAAGAGCAAGCGGGGTAGGGGCAGAGAGAGAGACTGGAGAGAAAGAATCCCAAGCAGGCTCTGTACCACCAGCGCAGGGCCCTATGTGGGGCTCGAACCCAGGAACCATTAGATCATGATCTGAGCTGAAATCAGGATTTGGAAGCTTAACCCACTGAGCCAACCAGGCGCCCCCGTAAGAACAGTAATTAATGGCAGTCATTTGACCACTAAGATATACCAGTGGGAGGAAAAGTTAGTATGAAAAACAGAAATGACCCCAATGGACTCCCTCTTAAAGGGAAAGTTATAACACTTTATATAAATGTCATGTATTTATCAGGACAACTTCACTTTAAGTAGCTCAAAACTGGTAAATGTATTAATATATAAAGACACACAGTACACACACATACAAGATTTTCCTATAATAGCCTCTTTTCTACCAACTCTAAAAGGTTCTTGGATGACAAGCTAGGTAACAGCCACCTCTCTGATGGCCAGCTTACCTTAAATAAATCAGCGACTATTCCGTAATCTGCCACTTGAAAAATTGGAGCTTCTGGGTCTTTGTTAATAGCCACAATTGTCTGTGAAATAAAGAGTTTGGCCTTTATCAAGAAAACATAGATTGATGGCTGTATTTTAACATTCCCAACAACAAATTTATATGGTTAAAAATGTCTACCAAATAAGATTAATCTGATTCATTTGTGCCAATATTGTAAATTTATAAATTTCTGGGTTGGCACATAACAAAATTATCTCCCACTCCCCACTAGCCCATCACAGTATTTTAAAAGATTTTAAACCATTATTTTTCTAAGTTCTTCTCTGACTTATGGAAAGAAAATATTTTAGGAAGTAATAAATCAGAGGAGAGGATTCTGGGAAGATGGCAAAGTAGGAAGCATCAGCAATCTGTCTCCCCATCTAGACTGTTAACAACTGCACTGGCAGAATCTGTCTAATGTAACCATTTTGGAACTCTTTGAGCTTGCAACTTCCAGAGCATGGCTTGCAAAGTAAACTGCAGCTCTTTAGTGCAGTAACAGTCCCCACCCCCAGTGGCAAGCAGCTGTGCACATATTCCTGGAGCAGCTTACACACAGCCTGCAGGAACAAGAGTGGGCAAAAAGAACTCTTGTCCCCCAACTACTGGGGGACCAGTGCTTTGGTTACTGACTGCTGTTTCTGATCAAAGAGATGCATACAAAGAGGAGGATGGCCATTGCTGTTGCACTTCCCCACTGTTGCAAGTCCCTCCCTTACTCTGGCTAAAGTTACCTCCAGGGGATTTAAAGCCTTAAAGCACTTCTTCTGCCTCCCTTCATTGTTCTCTTTTTCTCAAAAGCAACTGCTGATACAGGGAAAATTACAAATTGGCCACACATTCAGGCTGAGAAAGGACACAAAAAGACCTTAAGTTTATACCTCAGGTTAATCTTTGGCAAAGAGCCTACAACAATCAAAAAAGAACGATAAATAAAAACAAACAGCGGGGCGCCTGGGTGGCTCAGTCCGTTAAGCGTCTGACTTCAGCTCAGGTCATGATCTCATGGTCCGGTCGGTGAGGTCAAGCCCCGCTGAGTTCAAGCCCTGCATCGGGCTCTGTGCTGAGAGCTCAGAGCCTGGAGCCTGTTTTGGATTCTGTGTCTCCCTCTCTCTCTGACCCTCCCCCATTCATGCTCTGTCTCTCTCTGTCTCAAAAATAAATAAATGTTAAAAAAAAATTTTTTTTTAAAAAACAAACAGCAAACCCTAGGAAAGGAGAGAATCTGATTAACAGGAATACCATATTATCAGATTTAAATATCCAGTTTTCAACAACAACAAAATCACAAGGCATACTAAGAAACAGGAAAAAAAATCAAGGAAAATTCCATTCAAAGGCAAAAGAAATAAAATAAAATCAATAGAAATTGCCTATGAAAAAGATCCGGGGTGCCTGGGTAGCTTAGTCGTCTGGGTGTCCGACTTCAGCTTAGGTCATGATCTCATGGTTGGTGAGTTCGAGCCTGGTGTCAGGCTCTGTACTGACAGCTTAGAGCCTGGAGCCTGCTTCAGATTCTGTGTCTCCCTCTCTCTCTCTGCTCCTCCCCCGCTCATGCTCTGTCTCTCTCTCTCTAAAAAATAAACATTAAAAAAAATTTTTTTAAAGA